ATGCCCCCCAACCAGGGCCGACTGGGGATTGAGCCTGCAAACTGAGGTACATGTCCTTGACCAGAATTGAACCTGGGACCCTTCAGTCCATAGACCAATGCTCCATCCACTGACCCAAACTGGATAGGGCTTGATTTTATGGTTTTAACAAACTTCTGTAATTACAAAATGGGTCCTTTTATGACCCTGTTTGTATTTAACATTTGACAAAACTGCCTAATTTTTCCTTCGAAGTCAGTGTTTAAGTTCCCTGTTGTGGACTTGGGCTGAACTATTCACAGAAATGCTTTTATGTAAGATGGTAGTATGTGAAAATGAAAAAAAATCAGATCTGCAGATTTGGGATTCACATCCTGGTTAAGCCCGTAAGCCAGTCTCTGAACCTATTTCCTCATCTATAAAGTAAGAATAATTTTGTCATGAAGTTCAGCGAAATAAATCACAGTACTCAATTCAGTGTATAGCTCCTCAGAAATGTTACTTTTCTGCTCCATATTCCCTTGTGCAGTTTTATTAAAATATATTTTTTGGTATTTCAGGTACTACACTAAACCTTCTGAAGTTTCCTATTTGCAACCCAACTCCGTACAGAATGTTTGAAAGGGGGAAAAGGCTGAAAAAATATGCAACTGAAGCTGAAGAAGATCTTAGTCAGCTAGAAAAAAAACAACTTAATCTCTTAAAAAAGCATGGTTATGTAGTAGGTAAGCATCTTCTACAAGAAACTCTTATGTGGTCTTGGTACAATTCTTTGTTGAGCAACCTGAAATACAGCAGTAAAAGCATTTCCGCTAAGATACGGCCCCTCCGTGCAGAACAGTACAGTTGTTGACTCCATGCAGCAGCTGTAAAATAGATGCTTCCTTTCCTTGGTATCTCTTTTCAACCTTCATTTACTAAAAACAGTTTGATTTACAGTAATTTCCCTCATGCGCGATGTACACAGCCAGGCACACACTTGATCAATGAAAGAGTGTGACTCCTGCTGTTGTTGTTGTTAATCCTCACCCGAGGATATGTTTCCATTAACTTTTAGGGAGAGTAGAAGAGAGAGGGAAAGACAGAGAAACATTGATGTGAGAGAAACACATCAATTGATTGCCTCCTGCATAAGCTCTGACCAGGGTCCGGGCTAGGGAGGAGCCTGCAACCAAGGTACGTGCCCTTAACCGGAATCAAGCCTGGGACCCTTTGGTCCCAGGCTCTAGTGAGCCAAACTGTCTAGGGCCTGATGATTTTTTTGTTGAATTCTTTATTGTTTAGTATTACATATGTCTCCTTTTTCCCCCATTGACCTCTCCCCAGCCATTCCCAAGCCCCCACACAAGCCCTCACCTCCCTACTGTCTGTGTCCATGGGTTATGCTTATATGCATGCATACAAGTCCTTTGGTTGATCTCTTAACTGCCCCCCCTTCCCCACCCCCCATTGTCCCGTTGGACAGTGTTCGATGCTTCTATGTCTCTACCTCCCACACTCCCACTGCCTTTTTTTAAAAATCAAAGCTATATATCATTGTAGTCTCACTTTTATAGCTCATAGTTCTAGTAACTTGTTTGATGCAAACATAAGAATTATCTGTCTGGAATCAAAGGCTTTAAAGGAGTAACTAATTATTCCAATATAACTTACTCTAGGAAGAGTTGGAAGAACATTCTTGTATTCAGAAGAACAAAAGAATGAAGCTGCCTTTGAGTTTGATGCTGATTCACTTGCCTATGACATGGGAAATGAACCTGTTATGGTTACAGATAAATCCACCAAAAAAGTAGAACTGACCCCAGAAGATGTGAAAGATGCCCACTGGTTTTATGACACCCCTGGAATTACAAAGGAAAATTGTGTATGTATTTGATGTGTTATAAAAACATTAATTTTCTTTTCTTTCTCTTGTTGATTGTTATAGATGTCCCCCATTTTCTCCACCCTTTTCCTCCCTCTACCCTGCCCCACCCCCCTTCCCATTAGGCCTTCACCACATTATTGTGTGTGCCCATGGGTTATGCATATATGCATATATATTCTTTGGTTGCTCTCTTCCCATCCTCCCCTCTGAGATCTGTCAGTCTATTCTTCTTAATTATGCCTCTCGTTCTATATTGTTCTTTTGATTCTACATATAAGTGAGATCAGGTGATATTTGTCCTTCTCTAAATGGCTTATTTCGCTTAGCATAATAATCTCCAGGTCCACCCATGCTGTCACGAAGGGTAAGAGTTCCTTCTTTCTTACAACCACGTAGTATGCCATGGTGTAAATGTACCACAGCTTTTTTATCCACTCATCAACTATTGGGCACTTGGACTATAGGAACGTTAACTTTCAACTGCATGAGTACTGTCTTAATTAGTAGAACACAAAAAAGGAGATATACTTTCATGATAGATTCAGTTCTGATTCATTCATAGAAATGGTTCAGGGATGAAACTATATGCCATCACCGTTCTATATTTAATTTGTTGGGCTTCACTGCTGACACCCTACTTGTGTTATTGTGCTTGTTACCTAAGGTTAGGGAGACATGTATAGAATCTTAGATTTTGAGGTTGGAAGAAATTATAAATATTACTACAGTCCAGCCACCTATTCCATGCTTGAAGTACCTCTATAACATCCATCAGAGGGCACCCAGCTTGAACTGAAGTGAGGAGTGACTCCTCATCAGCTGAAGCAATGTCACCTTGCCGCCCAGAGTAACCTGTGTGATTTTGACCTGCTCTTTGTATTGAGCTGAACAGTCTTCCTATAACTTATACCCATTGTTCCTCAAAGCTTTGAAGTATTTTAAAGTATAATGTCCTATCTCTTCCTCCCTCTATTCTTTCATTAGTTCATCCAACAAACATTGAATATTTTCTCTGCTGACATAATCCAGATTATTTGTCCTTATTGTCTACATATGTTCTCTCTGAGACATAAGCTATTCATCAACCAGGCCCCTTTCGGAATGTTTTCTAATTTGTTTTTGTTGTTAAGATTATGACACTAAGAATGAGATTTTCTTGCCCTGGCCAGGTGGCTCAGTTGGTTGGAGCCTTGTACCATACACCAAAAAGGTTGCAAATTCTATCCTGGTCAGGGTGCATATGGGAGGCAACCCATCAATATTTTCTCTCTCTCTGCCCTCCTTCCTCTCTCAAGTCAATAAACATCTCAGGTGAAGATTTAAAAAATAAAAAGAATGGAATTTCTTGTATGAGTGCCCTCATTTCAGCATAATTTAGA